TAAATTTTGTTTGATTAAAACCCTGCTAACATGGAAGTACCCAAGAATCATTTGAGGCACATAATTCTTTATGAGTTCAAGATAGGGAACTCAGCAGCCGAAGCAGCTAGAAACATTCACTCAGTTTATGGAGAGGAATGTGTGAATGAAAGAACTTGCAGAAGATGGTTTGCAAAATTCAGAGGTGGAGATTTCACCCTTGAAGATGAAGGTCGAACAAGGCGTCCAGTTGAGTTTGATGAAAAGCTTCTTGAAGCAGCCCTTGAAGAAAATCCTGTTTTATCAGTTGAGGAATTGGCAGTGGTTCTCAGTTCAAACCATACAACTATTCATCGTCATCTTCAACAACTTGGAAAAGTTCTTAAACTTGAAAAATGGGTGCCTCATGAATTGTCTGAAAACAACCTCAAATCCCGAGTTGACATCTGCTCTTCTCTCCATTCTCGCCAACTTGTTTCACCTTTTTTGGATAGACTTGTGACTGGCGACGAAAAATGGATCTTTTATCGAAATGTTAAGCGTCGTAGACAGTGGCTTGGTAAAGGGAAGGACCCCAGCCACAGACGAGAAAGGGAACTTCATGGGCAAAAGGTCCTTCTTTCAATCTGGTGGGATCGCCAAGGAATAATCCACTTTGAATTCTTACCACCTAATGCAACAATTAATGCTCAAATATACTGTCAGCAATTAGAGCATTTGAACCAAGCTTTGAGGAAAAAAAGACCTGCTCTAGTGAATCGAAAAGAGGTGATGTTTCATCAGGACAATGCGCGACACCACACAGCAAGAATCACGTCACAAAAGATCGAAGAACTTGGTTGGGAGAAAATTCCTCATCCACCTTATTCTCCCAATCTTCAGACTACAATTTGTTTCGTAGCTTACAGAATCATTTGGAATAAACAGCTTTTATAACACAGGAAGAGGTTAAAGCTGACATTTGTGAGTTCTTCGAATCAAAGCCAAAAGAATTTTGCAGTAATGGAATTAGTAAGCTTGTTAATAAATGAAAGGAAGTCATAGATAATCAGGAAAATACATTGTTGATTGAATCTGTAATTAAATGTAACATTTAGTCACTTGTTTTCTTTATTCAAAATTCGGACAGAACTTATGGGATGACCTGATACATTCTCTCAAATTACTTTTTTTTTAATTATTCGTATTAAAAACATCAGTGCGTTGGGTTTTTACTATGCAACATCAAAATTAATTTTATGTCGTTTCTAAATAGTTATATATTGTTTTTTTGTTGTAAAGAATCTTTGGCTACGAATTCTAATCCTTTATTATAGTTGTGTGAATATTGGGTTGGACGATTTAAGTGAATTTCAAAAACATATTTAGATATTTATACATAGATTTATGGAATCATATGTTTCATTGTTTCGCTACCTTTGACCATCTTTAAGGCATTTTCATAATTTTATTCTCCCAAAATTTAGTGACGAGCAGGTTTTTTTTTACAGACTTCCAGAGGAATTAAACTCTTTCCATTAAGAGAATGTTGTAGGGATCGAAATAAATGGTAATTCGCAGGTGCAAGGGCAGATGAATATGACAGGTGTAATATGGCATTTCATCCAAGCTGTATCAATTTAAGCTTGGTCTGTAAAGAGACATGAGGTTTGGTGTCATCCAGATAGCAGTCGACAAACTTCTGAGTTTTCCATCGACTGCTGTATTTAACCGGTCCACATGAAAGCAATAATTATCAGAATTCAGAATTGCCGTCTAGTTCGTATTATTATTTTATATATAGATGTTCTACATTTTTAATTTTATCTACAGGGCCCTTTATGAAGTTTCCTGAATACAAAAAGAATTTTTTTTATATTTTTCCTGTTAGCTATACGTCTGATTAACCCACTCCTCCCTTCAACGTCTTTTCAAAAAATTGAACATGCCATATTTGTCTATCACGATACATTTGTCGCTGACATATTTTCCGCATTCGTCAATGATGGCCTGTCTATGTTCCGGTTTATCGTGACATGAAAAAATAACTCAACCACCTCCACCCTACGACCTTACTTTTTTTATTTAGCGTAGATCTGACATTTAATTGGTTAATCTAGACATACCCACAAACCTATTTTTAATTCTAACCTTATGTCCTCCCCCTTTTACTTTTGGAAAAGAGGTAACACTTTGTTTTTAAATTTCCTTAAAAAACATTTTAATCACCGGTTACTTACCATCACCTGAAGAAGTACAAGCATAGTATTGAAAGGTATGCAGCGATTTAAAAACTATTTTTATTATAATCTATTATAATAAAAATATAATAATAATATATTGGTTTACTTTATATTGAGCATTCTCCAGTCCATCGATGTTGATTTTCACTCCAGTTGGTGGTTGATGTCCAGGTTGTCGTTGGAGCAAGACCTTGGTCTTTGCCACGTTGATGGTGAGTCCGTAGCGCATGTAACTCGTGTGTTTATATATATATATATATATATATATATATATATATATATATATATTATTCTTGTCTGAATCATCTTCAAGAAGCGAGAGCAAGATCTAAAAGGTCAGCCAATCTAACAGTGATCTCATCTCACAATCCTCATACTTTCTCCATATGTGGCCTCCTTTGTAAATCACTAGCGGGTCTTAAATGCCACTTAAGATTATCGCTTTGGCTTTCATAACTGAATCAATAAGCTGTCAGATCCTCATACAGCGAAACCGACAGGAGAGTCCATTATATATATATATATATATATATATATATATATATATATATATATACTAGTTCAAAGGATTCAAAATAAGGATATGTGTACTTTTATACAGTTTGATGTCATTAATCATTATCTATCCATCTCCAAAGATCTTTTCACTTTGGCCTTTGGTTTGCCCAGGAATATTCAAACACTTCCGATAAGGAACTGGACATTATTTTAAAATGCAGGAGTTCTGTTCTGATCTACAATGAGGAACAATGAACTAAAAAGACTTCCAATGATTACTTCGACATCTCAGTGAATTCGTTAGATTCCGCTAAAACCTCTGACTTATGGGATTATTTATTTTATATAGTTTAAGAGCCTATGATTGCGTAGATACTGTATCTATTGGATTATATAGAGATGATGGCTTGTTAATAGTTAAGGATTCTATAAAAATTAAGGTAGAGAGTATTAGGAAAATGATCTATAGGGAATTAAAGGATTTAGGTCTTAAAGTTAAAATAACTGCCAACTTTAAACAGGTAAACTTTCTGGATCTTACCCTAGACCATAATATTTCTTTTCAACCTTATACGAAGGTCAATCCCCACCCAGTATATGTACACCCTAATTCTAACCATCCCCGCCAGTTACTAAACATACCCTCTTCCATAGAATTTAGAATCAGTGCTAACTCTTCTAGCAAAAGGTTTTTTTTATAAGCACAACAAACTTTACGACTTTGCCCTTAGAGATACCAGTTATAAAGGTACTGCTATTAAGTACAGAAATCCCATGAATTATGACCATCATAAAAAGAGAAGATCTAAGAAGATCATTTGGTTTACTCCCGCTTTCAACCTAATGGTTAAAACTATATTCGAACAAAAATTCCTAAACCTTATTAATAAACATTTCCCCAAAACTAATCCGCTTAGTAAAATATTTAATAATAATAATACACTTAAATTAAGCTATTGTTGTGCGGACAACCTCGAGAAAATGATTAAAAAACACAATAACAAAGTCTTCTGTATAAAAATTCAAAACATGACGTAATGCAACGGGGCAGTAAATGATCTAAGTATAATAATGCTAATACCAGAGGATGTAATTGTAGGAATTCCAATGATTGCCTGCTACAAAATAATTTCTTAGCTAGTTCCATAGTCTATCTTAGAACTATCTCTACACTTGAAAACCCGATTATTAAAAAAATTACACTTGAAGCACTAAAAATTCAATTAAAACTCGCTGCTATCAACTTCTTCAACAATAGTACATTTAAAAATAGTACTTCGTTGTCCAAGTACTTTTGAAGTTTAAAAGATAAAAACAAAACTCCAACTGTTAAATGGAAATTAATTGCACCATGTTATCTTTGTCTCAATGAAAAGTTGGAAATTATTAGAGTTAAAGACAGGATTAATCACTTAAATCAAAGGAATGAACTTACCGTTAACTGTAGACATAGTTCATATCAACCTTGCAACATAAGTAGTAATATTATGAATGATAATAGAATGGTATTGTAAATTTGTATTATTATTATTTATTGGTTTTTACTCTATTTTTATTTATGGACCTATATTTTTTTGTAACCGGATCACCAACGTTAATTATTACTTACCCTTATTTGCTAGTGATTTAATCTGACATAGATTGTTAAAATGAATTAAATTGAATAGTTGTAATTGATTTTGCATTAATTTTGCATGGACATTGAATTCTTTATCTCAGTAATCATATAAGTATGTATGGTTGTTTCTATATCTGTTTATATATATCTGTTTCCCAGACTCCATGAATTCAAGCGCCCTACGAGGCTGGCATGCCGCTCTCACCCTTACACTATACAAACTTTTAAATGTAGCCGTCTCTTCTACTCCAATAGCTTCATACCTCTCGCCCGTGGAACACCCTTCCCAATTACTGTTTCCCTGAAAGCTATAATCTCCAACTATTCAAATGTAATGTCAATCGACACCTCCATTTACCTTGATCTACCCACTATCCTTCTCCTCATTCTTTCTTCTATCACTCCTATTTGCTCTCGCTCCAAATCTTCTGCAACCCCCTGCATCCTAGAGGCTTCACGCCTTGCTCGGGGCGTAATGTTTAATATATATATATATATATATATGCGTGTGTGTGTGTATTTGTGTGTATGTATATATGTGTTTTTTATATTTGTATGTATGCCGTTTTCTTTTGTATATTTGTATGCGTATTTTGTTTGGACATGTGAGTTTAGTTCTTTGTATACGTATGCGTATGTGTGTGTATATATATCCATTTTTTTTGCTTTGTACTTAGACCGATATGCTTATTTCAATGTATGCATCGTACATATGCATGCATTTGTCCTTCTTACGTTTATTTGATTCCCTTTTTATCTATATGTTTCTTCATGTATGTAATATATTGAAAGTTGGTTTGTGTTGTCTTATTAATGTATTTGTGCTTGAATTTTGGTAAGTCTGATTATTTGTATATAGGTACATGTGTGTGATTTCTTGTATATGCTTTTATCTGTGTATACATGTGTTTGACATTAATTTTTTGCGTGTTTTTTTTATGTTTGTCTGTATTTATTCTTCTTCCCTTTATTTTTATTTTATTCTTTATTTTTACTTTCCTTTTATGAATCTTTCCTTCTTCTATTTCCCGTGTGAATATCCGTCCTTATATTTGTGTGCTTATATATTTGATTATATATACGTTTTTGTATATTAGGATGTGAATCTCTTTGTCCTGTCATTTGTAAAATCCCCTTCCATATCTACCTCCTTATTTGAATTCAAGCTTCCATGTATCAAATATGTGTAGCGATCGTAGATACTTCTTACACCAGTGTCGAACTTAACTGATAAAATGGCACTTCACTAAAAAAAATTTTTTTCGTCTAGTTTAATTTCTAAATATTTTTTTTAATAATTTTAAACTTGACGCTCGGTTAAATTTAGAATTTGACATTTGTAATTTTTAATTTTACTGTGGAATTAAAACTTAATTAGTTTTATTGATTTCTAATTTAATCTAATCTTAACTTTAATGCACTTATAGATTGTACTTAGGGTATGTGTCACGTTATTTTGAATTGCCATTTACTTGTATTCTGATTGGTCATCATAGGTTACGTAACAATGTCTCCCCTATTGAGGGGGTTTGGTTCGTTTTGAATTCTTGAAACTTTTCATTTTGCAATCAACTCCATCATTTGATAAGACGCCAGAAGAGTTGAAATAAAATCGCCATTTTTGTAGTGATTTTATAACATGCATATGTTAGAATTTTGAACATATATATATATATATTATTTAATGAAACGTGTATAAATATATATATATATATAAATATATATATATATATATTCTTGATTCGTTTTACGTGATTTGTGATATTAAATTTTATCTTTTTCCTTGCTCTTTATTTGTATACTGCATTGATTGTACTGTATCTCTTTTTTTGCAATAATACATACACACACACACACATATATATATATATATATATATATATATATATATATATATATATATATATATATATATATATATATATATATATATATATATATATATATATATATATATATATATATATATATATATATATATGTTAAATGGACAAAGGTCCGACAATTTATTTAAAAAGACATTTTTATTTATGTTTTAACGTTGTTATTTTATAGATACAAGTATTTAAGCAAATGCTCTGTTTAAGATAAACAGTATTAAATAACATTTACCGGCCTGAATGTTCGAGAAATTTTCATAGAAAATATTCGTTCAGCGTATATGACAGTTCCGTATAGGATGCAGGTTCGAATCCTGTCTATGAACGAATATTTTCTATGAAAATTTCTCGAACATTCAGGCCGGTAAATGTTATTTAAAATGTTTATGTTAAACAAATATATATATATATATATGTATGTACGTATGCACTTTCATACGCATGTAATTTATCTGTGAAATATTTATTTTCTATTTGCATGGTATAGGTTCTCTTTTGAGTTATAAAGTATTCGCTTTTGTGCACACACATGCATATATATAAATGTGTGCTTGTGTGTATGCGTGTGTTTGCGTGTGCGTGGGATATGTGTGTGTGTGTGTCTGTGTGCCCGCATTTACACAAATATGTGTGCATACCTCTATGGTGTCTATGTATGTGTGCATTTAACAATATTCTATGTAAGCGTGAGGCATGCACTCCTTTGTAGTATTTTATCCTCCATATTTTTAAGTCTTAGATCACATACCGACCAGATGTTCGTCGCTTTCGGACATCGAAATCTCAACTCCAGATATTCATTCTACTAAAGAAAGCTTCCTGTTCGTGCGCGTGCATGATAGGATCGATATAAGAGATAAAATTGCCTTGTGGTGATACTTTCTTTCGCGCTTTTCAATTCGCTTCGATGAGAACGAGTTGAGAAGAACCGAACTTCCGGTCGCCATGTTAAATCCTTTTCGATACTCGAGCAATTTTCAATTTGGCCGTATGCTTTCTAAATCAGAGAGGATAAACGAAGGAGATTTTTCTGATTCAATGGGCGGTCTCTATGGCGCTCTACTCAAAATACATTGAAACAATTAAAAAAAAACTCAGCTTTTATTCTTCGTCTTTGTCAATCGACATGATTAATTTTTCTTTTACTGAGGGTGGTTAAGAATGTTATTATTTTATTACTGTTATTCTTTATCATTCATTGTTTTTGCAGTTTTTCTATTTTTTTTCCCTTTTTATGCTTTTTGAGTTGTTTCTAAATTATTTTTAGAAACTTTTCTGTTATTATTTGGGGGGGGTTATCGGTGCTTATTTATTCCATCTTTTTTATAGCTTCCAATGTTTCTTCTCTTTTCTTTTTTTATTTCTCCAACTCTTCTTTCCTTCTTTTACTTTTGCCTTTACCTTTTTATTCTCTTTCTTGTTGTTCATTTGCTTTCCTTTTATTTTTCTTTACTTTTTTACTTTAGTTTCCTTTTATTTTTAAGCTCATAAATATTCTTATATTTTAGCAGCTATTTAGTTTTTGCTGTTTTATAACTTTTTCTGTCCCCCCTCTCTCTCTCTCACTTTCTTTCTCTCTCTCTCACACACACACATACACACACACCTTGCAATTTTTATGTCAACAATCCTCTTTTGTCCAGTCCTTTCTTCCTTCTTGCAATCCTACTATTCTTTGTCAGAGTTCATTTTACGTTCCTTATATATTGTTTCATTTCCTTTTCTTTATTCTTTCTTTGTCTCTTTTCTTTCTTTTCTTTCTTTTGTTTCTTTCTTTCTTTTCTTTCTTTTATTTGTTTCTTTCTTTTCTTTCTTTCTTTCTTTCTTTCTTTTCTTTCTTTCTTTCTTTTCTTTCTTTCTTTCTTTTCTTTCTTTCTTTCTTTCTTTTCTTCCATTCTTTTTTTCTTTCTTTCTTTTCTTTCTTTCTTTCTTTTAGTTCTTTCTTTCTTTTATTTGTTTCTTTCTTTTCTTTCTTTCTTTTATTTGTTTCTTTCTTTTCTTTCTTTCTTTTATTTGTTTCTTTCTTTTCTTTCTTTTCTTTCTTTTAGTTCTTTCTTTCTTTTCTTCCATTCTTTTTTCTTTCTTTCTTTTCTTTCTTTCTTTCTTTTAGTTCTTTCTTTCTTTTATTTGTTTCTTTCTTTTCTTTCTTTCTTTTATTTGTTTCTTTCTTTTCTTTCTTTTATTTCTTTTCTTTCTTTCTTTTCTTCCATTCTTTTTTCTTTCTTTCTTTTCTTTCTTTCTTTCTTTTAGTTCTTTCTTTCTTTGATTTGTTTCTTTCTTTTCTTTCTTTCTTTTCTTTCTTTCTTTTATTTGTTTCTTTCTTTTCTTTCTTTTATTTCTTTTCTTTCTTTCTTTCTTTTCTTCCATTCTTTTTTTCTTTCTTTCTTTTCTTTCTTTCTTTCTTTTAGTTCTTTCTTTCTTTTATTTGTTTCTTTCTTTTCTTTCTTTCATTTATTTGTTTCTTTCTTTTCTTTCTTTCTTTTATTTGTTTCTTTCTTTTCTTTCTTTCTTTTATTTGTTTCTTTCTTTTCTTTCTTTCTTTTATTTGTTTCTTTCTTTTCTTTCTTTTATTTCTTTTCTTTCTTTCTTTCTTTTCTTCCATTCTTTTTTTCTTTCTTTCTTTTCTTTCTTTCTTTCTTTTAGTTCTTTCTTTCTTTTATTTGTTTCTTTCTTTTCTTTCTTTCTTTTATTTCTTTCTTTCTTTTCTTTCTTTCTTTTATTTGTTTCTTTCTTTTCTTTTTTTTATTTCTTTTCTTTTCTTTCTTTTTTTCTTCTTTCTTTTTTTCTTTCTTTCTTTTCTTTCTTTCTTTCTTTTAGTTCTTTCTTTCTTTTATTTGTTTCTTTCTTTTCTTTCTTTCTTTTATTTGTTTCTTTCTTTTCTTTCTTTCTTTTATTTGTTTCTTTCTTTTCTTTCTTTTATTTCTTTTCTTTCTTTCTTTCTTTTCTTCCATTCTTTTTTTCTTTCTTTCTTTTCTTTCTTTCTTTCTTTTAGTTCTTTCTTTCTTTGATTTGTTTCTTTCTTTTCTTTCTTTCTTTTATTTGTTTCTTTCTTTCTTTTATTTGTTTCTTTCTTTTCTTTCTTTTATTTCTTTTCTTTCTTTCTTTCTTTTCTTCCATTCTTTTTTTCTTTCTTTCTTTTCTTTCTTTCTTTCTTTTAGTTCTTTCTTTCTTTTATTTGTTTCTTTCTTTTCTTTCTTTCTTTTATTTGTTTCTTTCTTTTCTTTCTTTCTTTCTTTTCTTTCTTTCTTTTATTTGTTTCTTTCTTTTCTTTCTTTTATTTCTTTTCTTTCTTTCTTTCTTTTCTTCCATTCTTTTTTTCTTTCTTTCTTTTCTTTCTTTCTTTCTTTTAGTTCTTTCTTTCTTTTATTTTTTCTTTCTTTTATTTGTTTCTTTCTTTTCTTTCTTTTCTTTCTTTCTTTCTTTTCTTCCTTTCTTTCTTTCTTTCTTTCTTTCTTGCTTTCTTTCTTTTCTTTCTTCCTTTCTTTTATTTCTATCTTTTCTTTCTTTTTTTTCTTTCTTTTCTTTCTTTCTTTTCTTTCTTTCTTTTCTTTCTTTCTTTCTTTTATTTCTTTCTTTCTTTCTTTTCTTTCTATCTTTTATTTCTTTCTTTTATTTATTTCTTTCTTTCTTTCTTTCTTTCTTTCTTTTCTTTCTTTCTTACATTCAACTGACAGTTTATGTCTTTTTCCCCTAGATTCCTCCGTCCTTTCTTTTTTATATTTTCTATTTCTCTTTTATTTTTTCTTATTTATTCTTCACCTTCTTTTGTTTGCTTTGTTTTCCCTCCTCTTCTTCCATCCTTTCATCTTCATTTAAACCTTTCCTTTTATCTTCATTATTATTATTTTTTAATTTCTCTTTCATTCTGTTAAACCTTATTGTGCTTTTATTTCTTTTTTTCCTATATTTCTTTTTTTGTCATTGCATTTCATTTGCGAGCTTCTTCCGCTTAATTCATCTCTTAAGCGACTAATTTTCTGTGGTGTCACATTTTTCAATTAGAAATGATTTAATGCACTTTTCAAAATCTACACCCTATTTTAAATGTCTGAATACTTCAAAGATGAAAGGTGTTTCCTCGCCCAAATACCACGGTAATTAACATCAGCGTCCCGAACATAAATAATCACTGGCTGGCTGACTTCAGCAATTAATCAAATCTATTCAACAAAATTAATTTATTTATTAATCAAATATTAATTAATGATTCATTAATCCCCAGCAGGAATAATGTCTTCTAACGATTATTGCATACATAAAATCATAGAAAGAATAAAGACATACTTGAAGGATGCCTGCCTTGAATTTAATCAAAGTTTTCGCTAAATTTTCTGCCTATTTTTTTTTTATTATTAATGAAAAGATTGTGCACCTCACAAGAGAAAAAGAAAATTGTTTTCTCTCAACAAAAACTCAAGTATAATAGAAAAATTAAATGAAACAATGTTAGCGCAGACAAAATTCTAACGATTCATTCGTGCAGCTTTTGTCTAAGCTATTCAGGGGAGGTTTTTGTTCTTTTTCTTTTCGTTTTTCATATTTGCTAACAATTGTTTTGTTCTCTATTCTCTTGTCTTATTCACGTGAAAGCATATTTTTATTGTTGGTCTTATGGCGTGTTTTCATGTTATTATGGTAAGAAAAATGTTTGAAACTAAATACCAGCCGTGCTTACCTCAAGAAATGTGGGATCAAAGTTCGACTTTGGTTAAAGAACAAGCAACAAACGTGTCACATCCAAAGAAAACAGCAAGCGTGTAAATTACTCACATTCGACACAGAGAATGTTACGAAAAATAACGACTCTGCTCTACGATGAAAATGAATTTAATTGAAATTCTCTAATGTAGAGGAACCGGAGAGTAAGTTATTAGCTGAAGTACATAGATAAGGTGTTCAACACCGTCGACCCTATTCTATAAAGTGGATTCAATTTGGATTCGTGATAACTCGATTCTTTTTTTCCTGGACGTTCGATCAACTTTGTTTTTAAGTTTTTCAGAAAAAAAAAGAATTAGCATAGAAACTGTCTCCAGTTCGGTCTTCGAAATTTTCGCAAAAACATTTGTTGCTGCCATCGCGATTTTACCCTTGTAGATAGGTACACCCAGACATATAGGACACTTGTACGCGTCTAATATGAAAATTAGTTTCAGTAAGACTATAAAAATATGACGGAAATTAAAATATGACGTTTTTAGAACTAATATAGCATTATATAAATTTGTTTCTAGGTTTGAGATAAACTGAGAACTGAAAATGAGAGCCATTGTGACATAATTTTGAAATAGGTTATGAAGTAAACAAATACTTGTAAAGCCTAATCTTTGAGTGATTGGGTCAAATCGATAGTAAGTGATATGAAAAATGACAGGATTTAACCTTCAGTTGATAATAAATAACACTAAAACGCTTGTAACATCCTGCGCAGAAAAAGATGATTCTTCAACAACATACGCATATATTCATTTTTAGCGTTCATTAATTTCTCTTCATTCATAACCTATTTGAAAGGAACTATGAACTGATCGGTTCATGTATGCGTCCATTTTATTAACAGCTATTTCACTGACATCGAAAATAATGTAACTGTCAATATATTAACAGGATTTTCTGCGGAATTATAAAAAAAATAACAAATTATTAGCAGAATCTGTGCACTAACTCAACATTCTATTTTTTCTCTTTTTTATTTTGAAAAAAAATGTTTTAAATTTAAAACTGTGTTCAGCGAACAGCTAGAAAAGAATTTTGTAGTTACAAGTGTAATTCAAATTATACGAAATAAAATGTTTGGATATTTCAACAAGATGATTTTTCATTATTGCCATCTTTTGCTGTTTCTCTTTACTGTTTCATTTCATGATTGTCGATTTTATAAAGGGGTAAATATTTTGGTTTGGTTGTTTGTCAAAATTTTGAAGCAAAACATTAATAATACGTTGGGTAAATGAACCACTGAGAATCAAGACCCATTACTTGTGGCTTTTTGATGCACTCACTACATTACAGTGAAACGCTAATTGACATTGCTAAGAGATGGCTCAATTATTTCCCTATTAAATAAGGAAGCCAAGCATTGAAGTGTTTCCAACAATGTTTGCGTTGCGTTAATCGCGCTCAGCATCAAACGACTCGAATGACAATATAAATATTAATGCACAAAAGCTGTCTAAACAAAAGAAAGACTTCTCAGAATCAAAGAAATGAGAATGGAGACATTTACTTCGATTTTCATAAGCCAACTTGTACCTGTTCAGTCATCCTTAACACATTATTATGCTTTTCTTAGAAGGAATAAAACAACATAATAATAATTAATAATTAATAATAATAATAATAATAATAATGATAGTAGTAGCAGTAGTAGTATTAGTAGTAGTATTTTGGTTAGTAATAGTAATGATTGTCATTTTATATTATTCTGATGATAGTATTACTGTAAGAATATAACTATATTAAGTGCACTTCTGTTTTTATTACGATGAAAAATTAAGATTATAAAATATTTTATAACACTGATTGTTATGGTCCAGGTTAGGACCAAGGAAGAACAACACGAACACAAGAGTAGAAATAACAAAGGTATATTACACGAAATAGTAATACAAGATGTGAAAGGTGTTAGTATGACTGCCAGTCTGGTTTGTAGTGAACTACTATCGGCTCCACTCGATTCGATATTTACTCCCCCCTCCCACGAGGGAAAGATGTGGCATAAGGCCGAGTTTTACATGGGTTTTTCGAGCCCGTAGGCTCGGCCAAGGAATGCCCGTAGAAACTGTAAAAACAGAATCGGGTTGGTCAACCTCCCCGAACGAGACTCTGCCCTTCGGCGGAGCCTCGTTCGGGTTCCTCTCTGCTCAGAGGCAGAGAGTTCGACCGTCAAGCCGAAACGGCTCGACTCGATTCGTCCCTCTCTCTTGAGAGGCGTAGTATACATAGTGTTAGGAAGAGTTTATTCTGTAGTTATAGATTGAGACTCATGACACTGATGATGCAAAAATGAAATTTGCGACTGGACAAAATATATTATTGTTGTTGTTAAGATTTATTCGGAAAAGAACATTTGTTCTTTGCGTTACTTTTATTGCTGTTATTATGAAGTTTAGAGTCGCTTATCCCGGTGTAAGGAAAGAAATAGTCTTTATTTTTAAGGAAATCGGTTGCAAATAGAAAATAAATTGTGGTTCATATATTGAATGGCAATTTCGTATCATTCCTAGTAACGCAAGATACACTGACAGAACATTTTCAGCTACACGTCTAACAAGGGTAATTCCTGATTTATAAACGGAGATGTACTCTTATTTCTTTATGCACTTTGCACGACAAAGAACAACAAAGAAAACATTACAACACTGAAATCTAACCTGTTCGATTCCTTCAATTTGCAATCACTTTCGCG